CAAAGGGGAGCTCTTGGACCCCAGATTGATGGCTGTGTGGAAAGCATGGCACTGACCCAGACCCCCTGAATGTGGTTGTCAGTGAGGAGGCCTAGGTAATCTATGGGGCCTTGGGTAGTATTTATCCTTGGTGTACAAATAGACTTTGAGTGCCCATCCCACAATCAGGGATGCTCTCTCAGCCGGGACTCTTGGAGGAGGGCCTAGGGCCTGCCCTGGACGAAATGACAGTCACTGGTGATCCACTATGGAGGGCTTCACCCTCCTTTGGAATCAGAGGAGGACTGGGAGACCTAGTTGGGAGGGTGGGCACGGAGGGGAGGGAGAAGGAGCTTGGATTGACATGTGAAACAAGCTTGTTTCTAACTTAAATAAAAATAGAAAAACGTTTTTCCCTTGGATTTTTTCATTGGGAGTCTTTTAATGGATACTCCTATTTTGTTAGAGCTTATAGATCTGTTTAAATTGGTTATCTGATCCTAATTTAACTTTGACAAGTGTTACACTTATTTTAGAATTTACATTTGGATGGAGCATAGGTTTTTTTAAAATTATGTCCTTATTATCATCTGGAATTCCTCGTGTCTATTGTTATGTCCCCATTTTCATCTCTAATTTTATTAATTTGGATCTTCTCTCTTGCCTTTAGTTAATATGATAAGGGTTTGATAATCTTGCTGATTTTTCTCAAAGAACCAACTCTTTGTTTCACTGATTCTTTTTTATAAATTTTATTTAACTTAGAAGCAATCTTATTTTACATATCAATACCAGTTCCCTCTCCCTCCTGTCCTCCCATGTCCCACACCAACCTCCCATCCCATGCCCCATCCACTCCCAGGGAGGGTGAGGGCCTTCCATGAGGAATCATCAAAATCTGTCAAATCATTTGTGGCAGGGCCTAGGCCCTCCCCTGTGTGTCTAGGCTAAGAGAGTAACCCTCTATGGGAAATGGGTTCCTGAAGTCCTTTTGATCATTAGGGATATATTCTGGTTCCACTGCTAGAGGCCCCATGGACAGCCCAATGCTCCTAGCTGACACCTACATTCAGGGGGGTCTGGCTTGGTCCTATGTTGGTTCCGTAGCTGTCAGACTGGGGTCCAAGAGTTCCCACTTGCTCAGGTTAGCTGTTTCTGTGGGTTTTCCCAGCATAGATAGGACCCATTTGTTCATCAATTTTCCCTCTCTGAAACTGTATTCCAGGGTTTTGGCTCAGGGCTTAACTATGGATCTCTGCTTCTGCTTCCATCAGAGGCTGGAAGAAGGCTCTAGAATGGCATTTAAGGTAGTCATCATTTTTATTATAGGAGAAGGGCATTAAAGGTAGCCTCTCCACTATTGCTTTCACTGATTCTTTTTATTGATTTTTTTCTTTCTAGTGTATTGATTTCAGCCTTGAGTTTGATTATTTCTTTTTGTCTATTCCTTTTGGTGTGTGATTTCTTCTTTTTTTCTATAGCTTACAGGTTTGCTATTGAATTGCTATAATGAGAGCTCTCTCTCTCTTTTATGTAGGTACTTGTTAGTATGAACATGCCTTTTATAACAGCCTTCATTGCATCCTTCAAGTTTGCATATGCTGTATATTCATTTTTAGTCAATAATAGAAATCTTTGATTTATTTGTTACTTTCTATATTACCCAATTTTATTCACTAGTGAGTTCTTCAGTTTCCATGAATTTGTAAGCTTTCTGCTGTTGTTGATATCCAGTTTTTGTCTGTGATGGTCAAATAGGAGGCAGAGTATTATTGCAGTTTTCTTGTATGTGTTGAGACTTTCTTTTTTCTGAATATGTGGTCAGCTTTAGAGAAAGTTTCATGTGGTTTTGAGAGTGTATATTATTTTGTGTTTAGATGAAATGTTCAGTAAATATGTTAGGTTCTTTTACCTTTCAACATTAGTTAGCTCTAGCATCTCTGTTTTTAATTTCTGTCTGGATGACCTATGTACTGCTGAGGGTTGGGTACTGAATTTTCCCTCTATAGGTGGGTGAGAGTCATTATGTGTTTTAAGGTATAGTAAATTGTTTGTTTGTTTGTGTTTACAAACTAGCACACCCTTGTGTCTGGAACACAGATGATAAGCACTGAAATTTCCTTAGTGGATGTTCTTTAGATGAGTATACACTTTTCTTTCCCTATCTCTTCTGATTAGTTTTGCTTTGAATTCTATTTTATCAGATATTAAGATGGCTACACCAGTTTATTTTTTAAGTCCATTTGCTTAGGAATAACTTTTGCCATTCTTTTCATTTGACGTCTACCCTTGATGTTAATGTATATTTCTTGGATGTAACAGAAGGATGAATCCTATTTTTGTATCCATTCAATTAGTCTGTGTCTTTTACATGGAAATTGATGTTGAAATATATCAGTGAGCAGTGATGTTGATTCCTGATATTTTGTTATTGTGGTAGTTTGTTGCTGATGGTGGTGGTGGTGGTGTGAGTGCATGCATTTGTGTGTGTGTGAGTGTGTGTGTGTGTGTGTGTATTCTTGCCTACTTTTGGTTTCCTTGTCTGACCTTAGTTATTGCTTGTGTTTTCTTGTGTGTGGTTATTCTCTTTGGGTTGAGCTTTTCTCCTAGTATCTACTGTAGGACTAAATTTATGGATACATATTTTTTAAATTTGACTTGATCATAGTATGTCTTGTTTTTTTCCATCTATGGTGATTGATAATTTTGTTGGGTATAGTAGTAGTCTGCTGTCTATGTTTGTTTGTTTGTTTTTGTTTTTTTGAGTTTGAAAGCCATCTGCCCATGCCCTTCTGTCTTTTAGAGCATCTGCTGAGAAGCTGATTATACTTCTAATAGGTCTTCTTTTATATGTTACCTTATTTTTTTCCATTTTTGTATGTTTCTTATACCTTTACAGGCATCTCCTTCTTTAGAGTAGGGGTGTTTTCTATTATGAATTCTTAAAAATATTTTCTATCCTTTGATGCGGGTTTCTTTTCATTCCTCTGTTTCTTATTCTGAAAATTGGTCTTTTCATAATGTCTCAAATTTCCTGGATGTTGTTGGCAGGATAGTTTTAGATTTGACATTTCTTTTGACTGAGGTACATATATATATATTTGTCTTAATGCCCAAGATTCTTTCTTCCATCTCTTATAATCTGTTAGTAAATTTGCCTCTGAGACTCCTATATGAGTTCCTAAATTTTTTCCTTTCCAGAAATACCTCACTTTGGGTTTTATTTATTGATTTGATATGCTTCAACTACTTTTATTTATTTCCTCTCATTCTTTCCTAGGTATTTCATATATTTCTTTAAAGGATTCGTTCACTTTCTCTTTAAAGACCTCTGTCACATTCATAAAGGCTATTTAAAGTCTTTGTATTGTGATTTAGCTATGGTGCAATTCTTTGGACCTACTGTGCTAGGGCTGCTGGACTTTAGAGTAGTAATATTTCCCTGGCTGTATTTTGTTTATTTGTTTGTTTTTTGTTTTTCAAGACAGGGTTTCTCTGTATTGTTTTAATGGCTGTCCTGGAACATGCTCTGTAGACCAGGCTGGCCTTAAATTCACAGAGATCCATCTGCCTCTGTCTGCCAAGTGCTGGGATTAAAGACGTGCTGGGATTAAAGGCGTGTGTCACCAACGGCTGGCCCCTGGCTGTATTTTTAATACTGGAGTCTATCCATCTAGATTTCAGAGGATTCCAATTCTAGGTGTTGACATCTAGTCTTATCTTTTTTGGGTGGGTATTTTGTTTCTTGTTTTTATTTGTTTGGTGGGGTTTCTTTGTTAATTTGTTTGTTTTTCCCCTCTCTGGTTTGTGTGTTGCCTGTTAGGAAATTCTTCTGGGATCCTACTATATGTGGCCACGAGAAGGGTGGAAAGTGGGATGTTCCATCAGGATCTGCTTAGTCTCCTAAGGATAGTGGCAGAGTGAAGAGAATCCAGTGCATGTGGTCAGCTACAAGTCTCTTGGAATGAGACTCAGGAATCGGACTTGAAAATGCAGAGAGAGAAGTGAAGGTCTCCAGTTAGCCTACCTGACTCCTTGGCTTGAATGTGTTTTGTTTGTTTGTTTTGTTTTGTTTTTAGGTGCCCAGGGAGTGCCTGCTAGGCTTGGGACTTAGATAAAGTCATGAGTGTAGGGAGGATAATTCGAAGGGTAAGATTTGGGAGATCCACTGCAGATAGGTGCGAGGAGGAGAGTCAGTGGCAAGTGGTCTGCTGCCGAGCCAAGGATGAAACTGGCAGTTTCAGATTTGGAAGAGAGAAGGAATAGACGAAGATACACAGTTAACCCAACTGTTTCCCTGTCCAGATTAGGTAGTTTAGTTCTTGTAGAGGAATTTGGACATGTGAACGAAATGAAAACTTATTTGTAGGTAGAAATTTTAGAATCCATGTGAAAACCCTTCTCTACCACTGAATAATAGGTAAGATCTGGGTGTATCTTTAGACTTAGACAAATAATTTTATTTCTTAAAGTATCTAATGAATAATAAACAATTGGATATGAAAGCTCCTTTACCTGCTTTGTTAGAATGCTTCTGTAAAGAACAGTAGGTGCTCTGTGTAGACATTTTCATAGCAGTTTATACTTTGTATTGAGATAGGCACATTCTCAGTTTCCTATAGTTCACAACGAAATGATTTGTAACTCTGCGGTCAAGATCACAGCTGGTGTCTTTTAGATCAGGCAGTCTCTTTAAAGACCATGTAAATGGCAGCACCCTTGTCCTTCTCTGCCCCAGGGGAGGTAGAAGTCCCAGATTTAATTTAGCAGTGTTCCTCTTGTGTTTCTATTTTATCATCTATATTAAGACAAAGTAATTTAACGGAGTTTTGTAAAAAGTGTGAAATACAAATGCAACTTTAATATTTTAAATGCTTTCACACCTTGACATTGTGTTTCCAGCTTTAGTTTTTGAGGACTATTTTAATATTTAAGATGTCAAAACTATTTGTTGTAGTATCACTAAACTCCACACAGTGTTTTCAAAACATATTCTTTTCTTTTGTTTTGTTTTCAACTAGGACCCCTACTATGGCTGGTGGCCTATTTTCTATTGACAGAAACTACTTTGAAGAGATAGGAACTTACGATGCAGGAATGGATATCTGGGGTGGAGAGAATCTTGAAATGTCTTTTAGGGTAATTGAATTTTTCTTTATTTTTAAACTCTGAAAATAGTATGTGGTAGCATGCACCTATCAGACCCAATAATTTACTGTCAAAATTTCTCTAAGTGATGTAATTTACTGATCATTTGGTCAATATATGTTTATTTAAAACGTTTACTAGATTCCTATTGCATGCAAACTTTACTGTTAAATCTGGAATTTTACCTTTTCCAAATAATTTTCATTCATGGTCAAAATGTATTTTGTTGCATTTCCCTGTAAACAAATCTTGTGTTGTTTAACTGATATCGGGAAGTGTTTATGTGACCTGAATTGCAAATGCTGCATGAATTTGTCCTTAATGAACTTTAAGATCAACTGCGGTCAAATAATTTTGGTAATTCTGCTAGAAGCATGTATGGTTTTCAACTATAGACATTAGTATTAAAAATTTATTTGAAAAAATACAATTTCACTTAATAAAAAACTTCCAAATAAATGAGAATTAAAAACAAAATTTATATAACATCATTTAATTTTTATAGACAAAACTGTAAATGCAATATCCAAAATGTATCTTTGTTCTAAGAAATAGAAAAGTGTTTTTATGCATTTTACCTTCAAGCACACATATTATTTTAAAAAGAACTTTTTAAATAAGACTAACTATTCCTTAATAAAATTCAATGCAAATCACTTAAAATAGTAGCATTTTAGCAAAGTCAGCTATAAAATTAAATGAGTAGAATCTGGACACATTATATAGCCAGGTGAAAATTAGTTTTGAAAGTGAAGTTGAAAATTTGTTTTCCACCAACACACAAAAAAAATGTGTGATGTGTAAGAAATTGTTAAAAATTTAGGGACCTAGAATGATGGCTCAGTGCTTAAAAGTACTTGCTTTTTTTTGTAGCCCCTACAAGTATTGCAATTTAATTGACAGCATCCTTACGCTGTTTCACATTTATAACTTTTGTTCTTGATATTTGTCATCCACTTCCAACCAATGCAGGCACTAGCACACATAGTGTACATACATACATACATAAACATACATACATTCATACATGGTATCAAAATAAAATTATAAAACCTCAAATAGAATGTTTTAAAGATGTTGTTGAATTGTTGATTAAAGTTTCAATTTTTCTAATGCAGAATTTATTTTGTCTGAGGTAGTTGTGATGTTTGAAAAGCAATAGAACTGTGTTTTTGTGTTACATTGTGTGTAATGAAGATGATTATCGTGACCACAAATAGATATTTTTGTGTATTTCCTTATATATGAATACTATGTGTGACTTGTCAACAAAAGTTAGTACCATGATTAGAACTGTCTTCTTATTATCAGGTCTATGTAATATTTTTTTTTTTTGGTTTTTCGAGACAGGGTTTCTCTGTAGCTTTGGAGGCTGTCCTGGAACTCACTTTGTAGACCAGGCTGGCTTTGAACTCACAGAGATCCGCCTGCCTCTGCTTCCCGAGGGCTGGGATTAAAGGCGTGCGCCACCAACGCCCGGCCTATGTAATATTTTTTGCAGAAACTTTGAAGCCATTTGGAGACAGATTCTTGTTAGCATAGATATAAAAATGACAGAAATAAGAGATGACCCAAAATATCAAAATAAGCAAACAAATAAAACCAAGAAAGAAATGAAAGAAAAATATTAATAAATATAACAATTTGTTTTGTTTTTTGGTTTTTCGAGACAGGGTTTCTCTGTATTGTTTTGGAGGCTATTGGTCCAGCCCAGCCTCGAACTCACAGAGATCCGCCTGCCTCTGCCTCCCGAGTGCTGGGCTTAAAGGCATGCGCCACCACTGCCCGGCAACAATTTGTTTTTATTCTTAGAGTAAATAATAAAAGTATGTGAGTTCTTATTCACTTTCTGGACATTTGCTGGGATTGTGTGAGGAAAACAATACACAGTGCTGTTCCACTGACCCAATTACTTACTTTCTGTTTTTTTCTGCTTTCGTAAAGTGCTATCTTATCTCATTTATATATATTAAGCTTGATTATCTGCCAGTACCCTACTTTTGTGTTGATTATGTACCTTCCACATTGGAGGGAGCCTGAATGATAGGTTCAAAGATAGCTATATGACTAATACAATTATTAAGAAGGGCCTGATCAGCAAGTATGACAAAGTTACACATGAATAAAGGTATTATGTGGATGTCAGGAAAGTAGAGACAAGGTAACTGACGCCCCTAAGAATAATCAGAAACTTGGAAAATGACAGTAGATTCTGCGATCAACTACCTAGGAATATTAACAGATTGAAATACTCATTAATGACTGTTTTCAAAGATTTCAAAACTTATTATTGCTTTAAGCACCCCCACATTTGTCTACAGGTTGTTTTCAGGAGAATATATTGTGATTTTTATTACAACCTTGAATCAACTATCCAGGCTACATATTTCATGACAGACCCATCAGCATATAGGTATGATTTAATGTTTTTAATTGTTGAGGATATAAAGATGACTAAGGCATGATGATTTCTTATTCTAAAGGAGCAGCATTCCTAAAGACAGATATTATTTCAAAATGGTGAAATTGTTTCTTATACATGTCAAATAAGTTCATGTGTGAGTAAACCATTTAAAATCAACTGATTGAGTGACTATTGTAATGATTGTGTGGTTTTGTAGCTGTATAATTTTCAGTTACCACTATAAGTAAAATATTAAAATATTTGGAATGTGAAAAATATTAGTATACTAGAAAGGCTTAAGGAAATTTTAAACAAAAGAAAGGAATGCATTCCTAATTGTCTTTTATTTTTCATTGTGATATCACTTTGTTTATGATGACTAGGAAAGTTCAGGAGAATATATACATTAATAAATTAGGTAAAAGTTACAGACTTCAAAGACGCAGATGTTTCCAGATCATTAGTAATAATAGATTTAAATACAGTGACAAACCATTACAAGGAAACCTTGAGGACAAAAAAGAAAATTCCTTGCCATAGTGTAATGGCATGCCTTCTAGTGTTGGCAGTGATTTTGGAATAGGATGGCTGAGCACCAAATCCAGCCTTCTGTGAACACCAGGTCTGCTGTTATGTGTCCTGCTAACACATATTCTGTCGTCCTACTGTAATGTAACAGACTAAAGAGTTGGTACTAAAGAACGGATGAAACTACTACTCAAACGCATTCTTTTTCTAGATTTCTGACATGGTTGCCTCATCTGTGATATCTTTCTTTGATAGATCTGGTCGGTAGTGGAAAAATGCATAACCAGCATCAGTAAGAATAGTCACAGGGAGATTCTAACACCTCAGCAAAAATTTAGTTTCAGATCCTTCTCCTCACTAAATTGTACATTTCACCGATATAACACAAACACTAAGGATAGTGTCTAGATATAAATGAAGTAAAAATGAATTCATTTAATTCTAAATTATTGAGTTTAATACATTCTGAGTATATACTACTGATAGACAAACTTGATGGCATTGTGGAATTTGTATTTTAGTATAGGGGATTGATGATACACAAGATCAATAAAGTATATTAATATATTCGTCATTAGTATTTAAGAAAATAGTCACAGAACAGATGAAGTCAGTGAACTGTTAATTCTTAGAAGGTAGTAAGGGGTTGGGATTTTACGGAGTTTATAGATTTGTGGATTTTATAGAAGGAAGATTGAGCAAGGAATAAATGATAAAATAAAATGAACTCCAAATTACTATAAATTGTCAGCTGTCTTAAAGTGGTTATTTTATCAGTGTATTACCCACATATACTGCCACCAAAATTTCTTCTTCTAGTAAATAATAGCACAGAGAACTGTATTAATAGCACAAAGAACAATGATCCTAATTCCCTCTAACATTTTGTTCAAGTGACAGTGGAAGTAATCTGCTAGTTATTGAATCAGTTGAGTTGATTTGGAAAGAAGGTCTAAGAAGCAAGACTATAAAGGGTTTCCTACAAGTGGTGATAGAACAATGCTGAGAAGTTTGTATTGGAAGTTAAGCAGACTGGAATAATTGTGTGAGCAAAGTTTTAGTTTGTCCGATTCTACATTGGAAAGTACAAGGCAATAATTTATATGTTTGAAAAAAGATAAAATAAATTATGAATACAGTTTTGAGTATACTATTTTCTGCATGTGAACTGTACCATAAAATCCATCTCTTGAAATGTGGTAATAATCTTTGCAGTCTTGAACAAACCACATGATTCCTGAGTATCATTTAATAATAATTTTATCCTTAAGATCTTGTCATGAGAATATGCCATCAAAATCCCTTCCTTCTACACCTGAATATACAAGACATATATAAAGTATCTCCTAAGTTCCCCACATGAGAAGAAATAATAAGGATGAAAGCTGAGATGGATAATTATAAAAAGTAAAATTTTAAAGAACTCTGATGAAAACAAAAGTCTGCTTTATTAGGAAAATCAGTCAAATTTAAATTTCTTTCTGAATTTTTGGAAAACATATAACAAACCAGTTCTGTGAAAGAGAAAAGAGACATAGCAATGGATTTTTTTAGTTATATAAAAAAACTATAAGAATGATATGGACAGTACAGAATTATGCAATACCCTAAGAAACTTGATAAAATGAGCAACCGGGAAGGTTGAGTTGGGGAGAAAAGACAGTGAGAGAGAGCAAAGAAACAGACACCATGATAGAAGGAAACATTACAAGGTTGATGAGAAACCTAGCACTAGGGACGTTCCCAGGAGTCCACAAGGTTAATCCCAGCTAAGAATCTAAGTAATAGTGGAGATTGTATTTTAACTGCCTATCCCCTCTAATCAGATTGAAGAGTTCCTTAATTGTAGTAATAGAACCTATCCAGTAACTGACAGAAGCAGATGCAGAGATCTGAAGCTAAGCAGTGAACCGAAATCCTAGTGTCCAGTAGTATAGAGGGGGGAGCTATAATATGAGCAAAGGCGTCAAGATTATGGTGGGGAAACCTACAGAATAAGCTGACCTGAGCAATTGGGAGCTCACTGACTCCAGACTGACAGCTGGGGAATCTGCATAAG